GCCTTGCGAGCTATCTGAGCGCGAAGTCCCGACGTGACGAATCGACGCTCAAGTGTTCGTCCGTAATAAACTCGAACTCGGCTATGACTTGCCATATAAATATACACTCAGTCTCGTGGATGCCTCATCATCGACTGATCGATAGCTCCTAAAAGCACTATAGACAGTCACTAAAACTGACATCTTCACGCTTTCGGACGCGTCAATAAACAGGCTTACATATACTAGTAATTCGATTGACATATTCAATCAGCAATCCAGAAGAAAAGAAAAGTTGAGCAGAATAAGTAAAAGGTACAATACATAAAATTGATATAAATACTTAATTGATAACTGATGATTGCGCTTCGCATATAAGCAAGTAAGTTTCTTTATTGAACTCCAAGCTGTCGAAAAGTCAACTGTTTTTAACACCTTCCAAAAACTTTCGGTAAATATCGATGATTTGCGAGATTGAATGTACGGCGTGATAATATACAAACTGACATGACGACCGAAATTTAATGTACGAAGTTACCCGTGAAGTTCTAGAGTATCCTAAAGGAAATATATTATCCGTTCTGGAGAAGTGTAATTTTATGTGTTGAGGCTATTATGCCGGCCTGTGCACGCCCAATCGTGATAATCAAGGTCACATGTAAGATTTTACCCTCCGTACTTGAATGCTTAAGGTTGAAAATTGTCCGAGTGACCCTAGTTGCAACAGCCAGACGTATGTGACACCGGATGTACACAGACCGGCATAATAGTCTTAACACATGAAGTTATCCTATTATGCCATTTCAGAGTTTTCCATGAGGAATGCATTATGTGTTCTACAAAGGTGCAACTTCACGTATTAAGACCATTATGGCGGGCTGTACATGCCCAGTCATTATAACCAAGGTCCCATGTGCGATTTTCGACCTTAGACTGTATGCGTAAGTTTGAAAATCACCCAGGCAGCCCTACTTATAATGGCGAGGCGTATGTGACGGTGAGAGTCTACCTAGACAGGCCCTAATAGCCTTAGCGCATGAAGTTGTACCATCTTAGAGCTTCCCATAAAAATGCACTACGCGCCGCAGAAAGGTACGACACTCTAGATGTTAAGGCTGTTATATACCGACCTTCGTGCGCGATGCTCCTTGTAAGTGTATATACAGTGAGAAAAAAGACACGGAGAAATCGTCGTGCATTGAGCGATGCTCTCTTTGTGAAGCTTCCCGCGCTCCAGCAATTTCGGTGTTATGGACCACGCTTTAGTATAATTCGACGGTTTCCGTCGAAAGGCGATAAGTTTCTCGTGAAATAACGGAGCTACGAAGAATAACTCGCTAGTGTGTAATTTTGACAAAAGTATCGCGCGATACTCGCACGCAGCAGTCGTTTCGATCTTGGTCACCGCCTCCGATGGATGGAGCCACCGATTACTTTACATAGAATGCGCTCTTTCGCGCCGGGCGATATAGACGACATTATACAACACTGTAACTGTTGCGTGGAGTTTGTTGCAGCGGAGAATTGTCGAGATGGATCGTACATAAGACTATATGAATAATAATAATACAATAATAGACAAGTTTATAAGCGACACGCAATGCCAAACCCATCACGATAAGATACGCTCAAATTTATTTTGCAAACACTGACATTATAACGAGTTGTCACATTGTCTCGTCGAAAGTTCGTCTGTTTGTCTGTTTGTTCCACAATTTTGTAATATTTGCGAACTTTATAAATTGTGAATCAACATACACGATTAAGTGTTACGTTTTTGTACGATTAAATTAAATACGAAAATAAAAAATTTATGTATCGCGAAATTCAAACGCGAAATACGTGCTTCTAGGGTGGCGCATCGAGACGTTACATCGACCTTGCGAGGCGTTTTATTGACATATTGATACACGTATGACACATCTTCGCGGTTAATTCGGCAATTTGTATACATCAAGCGAGGGACGTGATGGAAATCCTAATGACGGCGGAACGTGCCCACATGTGCCCCGATAAAGTAATCTCTATTACATTGACGAGCAGCGTCTCGGTTATAAACCTACTTGCGTTTCATGTTTTTACGAGGATGTCGACGCTGCACTGTTGACTGCGATAAATATTTTGCTGGATTGCGATTTAAATTGATCATAACATCGCGAGGAAAGTGATCTATAACCGCTCTATCGTACAAATTAATATCCAGCAATAATATTGCACGCACTCGCAACGTGATTGTAATAGAATTTAATATAGAATGTAGAATTTAAACAATCAAATATTCCACGTTTATATGATAATATAGATTAATATTAATATCACCTAATGATACATAATATTTACAATTCACCAATATCTAATGTTAATTTGTAATTTAATGATTTGTTATAATCCAGCATTTTATAAGACAAAGCGCTTGTACCGGCTAATCAATGATACATATTTAGTTATAAAAGTAATAAATATACTTCTCACGCAGATAAATAGCACACTAAGAAAATACCGTTCATGAGCTACACAACTCAAGTAGAGACCGATTAGATTAAAAGCTACTTTTGTGTGCACTTGATTACTCATAGGCAGCTCTAATAGAAATGCGCAATTTACCGCTACTATTATCGAAACACTTCCAATGAAGGTTATCGAAAACACACATGTACTGATAAAGCAATGGCGCGCATAATGTACACATCCCGCGAGCCTCGATATTTATAACATTTATCAGACGGATAGAAATTTATCGGTCCTTTTATTCGTTCTCTCATTACATCTGGGAAAACAAATGAAAGTACTAATAAATTGTTAACCTACTATCATGTCGTCATATTATTAGAAGTGTGATTTAGTTTCGAGAGTTTTGCAAGGGATGGCGCTAATAATCTAAAGTTTTGTCAAAGACATTTCAATCATAGCTATTGTTTCTTAATACTTTAATATTAATTCATGATATTTAGTCATTTACTAACAACAGACGCAGTAAAAATCGTGTTAGTATCATCTTAAAGATGGAGCTTCCTAAAGAGCACTTTCAACATGCGTTGCTTTTGTTTTTTAATCAGAAGAAAACGGCGGCTGAAGGTCATAGAATTCTGATAGAAACTTATGATGATGTTGCTTCATCAATTAAAACACGTGAATATTGGTTTAGACGTTTCAAAAATGGTGACGACAAAGATCGCTCGGGACTATCAAAAAAGTTAAAAAATGCAGATTTGCAAGCATTATTGGGCGAAAATCTAGCATAATCCACTCCAGAACTTGCCAGAGCATTAGGTGTTGGTCGTATAATAGTTACTAATGTAATATCATGATATAATATGATATGTCAAGCTGTAGAAATAACAGATTGGCTGAACGTATTATCAACGGTTATAATGCAGATGCATATCCAGACACAATAGGAACAAATAAAAAGATCAGTCAAGGATGCGCAGTTTTGATAAATGTCGAAAGACTTTATTTTAATTTAGTGCACACACAGATAGGCATAAATAATCTTAACGAAGTTATAACCTTGTAAAGAATATAACATACAGGATGTCCTTTGGAAACGACGGGATCTTTTGGGAACAAAAAATTGTGAAGATTAATCAGATCAAACTGAGAAGAAAAGTCAAGTATTATTTTGCAAAAATTGCAATAGTTGTTAAATTATTAATGATTGAAAATGATCATATCTAGAAACTCTTTTAATTGATAACTGAAACTTGAAAACTTACAATTTTATTATGCATTTATTTGCAAAATATAAAGGACTTTCTTGTTCAGAATGACCTAACCTATAATTATATGACGGCTATTTTGCCCAACGATAGATACAAGATCCAGGGTTTAAAATTCAATTTATTCATATCTATCAGACACAATAGCCGTCATATAATTGTAGATTAGGTCATTCTGAGTAAAAAAATCCTTTATTATTTTACAAATAGGTATCCAAATTCTCAAGTTATCAATTAAAAGAGCGTCTATATATGATCATTGTCAATCATTAATAACTTAATAACTATTGCGATTTCTGCAAAATGACTTTTCTTCTCAGTTTGATCTGATTAATCTTCACAGTCTTTTGTTTCTAAAAGATCCCGAACACTCTGCGTAATTATTGGAATCAAGGGATCGCAATATTTTCTTTCAACAATTTCAAGAACGTATTCATATCCAGTAAGAGAAGAGTCGTTTTCCAAAACAAATAAAAAAGAGTGAGGAAGTCCTGAAAAAAGCTAGGTCGCAGGACCTTAGTTGAACAACTTTTTAACTAACTGTGGGAGAATAATAATGTTTAGTCGTGCAGTGACCAATGCTCCAAGATCTTCCGCAATATTGCTTTTTTAATTATTTGCAAAAGGGATAAATTTTGCTATTAAACATTGAGTTCGATCTAAAGTTTGTCGAGGTAAAATCCTTCTCCCACTAACCGTATTTTTTCCACTAAGCTCTAAAATATAACTTCATTTGTTAAGGCTGTTGTACGGTTTCCGTTATGCACCGCGAAAAAAAGTGCCCGGTATTTGTGACTGTAACCGCACAGTGGGTGGGTTACTGTCAGGGGAGAACTATTTTTGCAATAAGCGTTACTGTAACGTGAATAAAATAATAATCCAGCAGACATACATCGCTGCTCTTTATTAGAGTAACAGGAAAATATCATCGGGCACCGGAAATGATTATAATTTCAAGAAGATTGACCGTTTTATCCTTCTCGGTGTGTATGTATGTTATGCCAGAGTGGTGGACTTTTCTCTACTTTTCACACCACGAGTTAAATTGATAATCGCCGCGCTGAACTGGCGAGACGGTCGAACGGAAATTCCCCGTGAAAAATCGCGTACTAGCAAAATAGCTTACTAGCATCGAATAAATAGCTGAGACTGGCCGAGTATTCAAATACGCGAACGCTGCGATATGCCTCTCTTTCTCTCTCTCCCTTTCTCTCTCTCTCTCTTTCTCTCTCTCCCCTTTTTCTTCCGAGCGAAAGAATCGTGGCGGATCACTCGGTGTCAGCACGGGTTATCGGGCGACTATCAAAGTTTCCAGCGGCTTAACGACACCGTGCGCGAGTCGTTTAGTAATCGGGAAGGATGCGCGGCTTCTGCACGCTCGTCGCGCTCGTGGCGATCCTCTTCGTGAGCCTTGGCTGGGGTTGGTCTTTCACGAACGTGGCGACGTCCATCGGCGACAAGTTGATGCAGTCGCGACCTGAGGAGTCGCGAGTTTTGAATTTCGACGGGAGCAACAGCACTTCGGCCAACAAGACCGCGGACGTCACGGTGCAGGGCAGGATAATAATGGTTCCACGAAGGAGCAACGGTCGCTGCCAGCCGGACGAGCAGGTCGATCGGCGTGGCAAGTGCAGAACGGTGTGGTGAGCGAGTTCGGCCCGGACAAGTAACGGGGGCAAGGTACGCTTAAATACCTCAGGGCGGCTCATCTTCGCCCTGAGGACGCCCGCGCGCCCGCAACAGCGTCCGCGCGGTACTTGCACTTGGGAGAGCCTATATCTACCCTCTTCTCGTATTATCTTTATTATCTGCGCCTCGACATTGTGCCGTTATCTATGTCTCTTCGACATTCGAAACGACGCTCGTGGAGCGTCTCACACTCGCTCTCGAAGCTCTCGACAGTGAAAATACCGTCGCTCGGAAGCGCGAGAGCGAATGTTTGGTTCAAATACCGTACAATGGACTCTCGATCTGGACGCGAGCGAACGTTTCAGTCGATTATAGTGGATTCCATAGTGACGACGGCGCATGTCGAATGTGCTCTTTAGTTTCGAATCGGAAGATTCGTTCCGCATGAGTCATTCGGTTTTCGGTGAGATTTCATTCGAAGAAATTTCGAAGGCTATGAGAAAGAGACATAGAGAGAGAGAGAGAGAGAGAGGAAAGATGTTTAGCGTTTTTTACTATGGCTGCGTTCCGAAATGCACTGACAGTTTTCACGTTCCGATATAGTTTCCAGTAGAGATGTGCGAACTATTCGAATTTGAATTGAATCGAATCGAATTACATTAGATTCGATTAGATTTGAATCCAAATAATTCGAAAATTTGTAATCGCGAAGATTCAAATCAAATAGATTAGCGTTTGCAAGCATCAGCTACAAAACGGGCCAATCTAGGCTTGTATGTTGAACCCTTAACTTGTAATTAACTTAATTTATAATTAATAACTTAATTATAAATTACTTTAAATATTTAAACATATATTTTACTTTGAGATAATATTACAATATCAATATTCCTTTTCATATTAAAATCTTCCATCATTAATTGCATGTTTAATTTCTTAGTTTAAGTCATGTTAAATTTCTTAATGGTTTGATTCGATTTCATTCGATTCGATTCGAATTCGAATGAAATTTCATAGATTCGATTCGACTCGAATTCGAATTTAAAAAATGAGATTCGATTCGATTCGATTGGACATAAAAATCCTTGATTCGTACATCTCTAGTTTTCACGCTCTAAGATGATGATACTTACTGCTTTTTTCACAAAAATAGGTTCTAGGGAATTACTAGCTTCCGGCTAATTTCCTATATTACTCTGAGGAAGTTCAGTAATGAATACGGCGCTTGACTTACGCTAGGCTTACATAAATAAGGAATGTAGAAAATGTCATTAGTAAAATATACGATAATTGACGGAGTTGGAAATAAAACTTATAAAATATATGAAATATTTTTTTCATCGTCTGATGAACTTTGAAAATTATCTTCAATAGCATTTGCGATACTCTGTGCACCAAATAAAATTGCCGTTGAGTTGGCCATTATTCCTGATTTATCTGCAAGCTTTACATACCTTATAACCTATCTGCCAATCACGATACTGCAAATGCATTAACGTTTCCCATGCTGCTGGCCGTTTACTGACGATTTTCGAATGACCGATACACTGCTTTCAACATTATTTCGGAACGCAGCCTGTAAGTACATAATGGAATACTTACAGTCATATTTGTAGTAAACTGTACTATAACGTTGCTGCGCTAACCTTGTATGCGTATCGCTATCGCCATCTCTGGGAACACAATAAGAAGATTTCCCAAGTAGATATCCCGAAAGACAACTATAATTTGTAGTAGGATGAATAATCTCTGCCAATGTGTAGGAAGCCCAATGTGCGTCCCAAGAGAAATGTTTCTACCCCGATTAATCTCCAAGGCATCGATCGATCTTGAAACGCGGCGCACAGCTTACGAGTGGCGGTCGAGTGACGAAGTCCACGATTTCGTCAGCGCGGTTCTCGATATCACAATGTCGGAATCGATGAAAAACTCCAGGCACGTCGGCTGATAAAGCCACCAGTCGGCGTATCCACGATATTCCGCCTCGCCGATAAAGCAACCTTTTAAGCCGCTTCGAGCACAAGGTCGCTTTTAATTTTAGCCCGCTCGTACATTTCCGAGTGGGCTGTTTGCGCTCGAGCGGATCAATCGTCGCTAGTCTCGCGCGCCGCCGGCGGCTGAGAAGTCTTGAGAGAGAAAGAGAGAAAGAGAGAGAGAGAGAGAGAGAGATTGCAGCGCTCGCGCGCACGCGACCGAGAACGCTCCCGATTTCCTCCGGCCGGAAAATGCGAGCTTCCACGAAGCCGGTCGCGCTCGTATCTTGAAACGGAATCCAAGTCTCGTTCGCGCCCATTGGCCGCGATCGCGCGTCCTCGTCTGATGAGAGAGAGAGAGAGAGAGAGAGAGAGAGAGAGAGAGAGAGAGAGAGAGAGAGATGCTACGAACGGCATTCACGGGCTCGTCGCGGCGGACCGACACTTCGCCTCCGACCGAATTCCGGTAATTTCGCTCGGGGCACGTATCTCACGAGACCACCATTGGTACAGGTGTGCGATTGTCATTAGTTGCACAAAACGTTAATCGCGCCTCACGACTCCCGCGCATCCGCGTCGCGCGCGTCACAAATTTTTCTCCGAGCCGCGTTGAAGGATTGCGGCAGAACTGTGGGAAGTGTGCGCGAGAGTGATTTCTCAGTGTTTCACAGCGGCGGACCGCTAAATTCTCGAGAAGGTGCGCTCGCGAACGTTAAGAAGAAGAAGAAGAAACACCGCCGCGGGGCGAGCCGCGAACAACAACCCGAGGCGTGATCGGCGAGCGAATAATTCGATCGGCGAGCGCAAGCCGTACGACGATCCCGGTCGGTCGTTAGTTTCACGCCGTGTGTGCATCGCTCTCTCGCAATCATGAAGCTCTCATTGGCGATAACGTACGCGATAGCGCTGCTTTTCTTCCTGTTGATGTCGAACGCGCATTCGAACGTGTCGCAAGAGAAGGAGCGCTTTATGCGCTTCGACGAGAAACGCAAAATCGAGCTCGAAAGGAGCTCGATTATCCATGTCCCCCTGAATTGCCCGCCGAATAAAGTCAAAGTTGGGGATCGCTGTAGGAGCATCTTCTAGGTGAGCCGAGAAAGAGAGAGAGAGAGAGAGAGAGAGAAAGCGAATCTTATGGCGACAATAATGGTTGCGAAGAGCTTCGCATTGATGTTATAAACGACATTGAGGAAAAGAGAAAGAAAGTAATTGACTCGCTAAAATTATAGTCCCTTCAGGCGACTATATTTTATGCTCATCCGCGACTATATTGTGCGCTCTAAGAAAAGGGTAGTAATAGGGATAAGCGTATAAAGTTAAGCATGTGGCATATAAAGATACGATAAGAATACTTTCTTTGACTGATAATTGCTACGAAATAATAGTTGCAAGTGTTAAGCAGCTTGCTCGGGCGTTATAAACGACATTGAAAAAGAAAGAGAAAATGTTTAATTCGCTAAAACTATAGTCTTTTTAGGCGACTGTATTTAGTCGCCTAAAAGTATTATAGTAAATACAATAAGAATACTTTCCTTGACTATAATTATATTGCTACGAGATAATAGTCACAAGTATCAAGTACCTCGGACATCAGCGTTATAAATGATATTGGGAAAAAGAAAAATAATAGTTAACTCGCTAAAACTATAGTCTTATTAAGCGACTATATTTTTCTGCTCATTTGCAACCATATTGTGCGTTTTAAGAAAAGGATAGTAGCAATAAGCGTATAAAATTAGGCATGTGGCATATAAAGATACTACAAGAATACTCGCAAGTAATAAGCAGCTTGCTCGGGTATTATAAACGACATTGAGAAGGAAAGAGAAAATTATAATATTATATAATATTTAACTCTCTGAAACTATAGTCTTCTCAGGCGACTACATTTTCTGCTAATCTGCGACTATATTATACGCTCTAAGAAAAGGATAGTAATAGCGATAAGCATGTAAAGTTAAGCATGTGTCATATGAAGTTACTATGAATGGCATTATAGTAGCACTTAATACGGTGAGAGAATACTTTTCTTGACTATAATTACATTGTTATGAGATAATAGTCACAAGTATCATACTTTGCTCGGGCATTGGCATTATAAACGACATTGGGAGAAAAAGAGATAATAGTTAACTCGTTTCGAAATTATAGTTCTTTCAGGCGACTATATTTTCTGTTCATCCACGACTATATTATACGCTCTAATAAAAGGATAGCAGTAGCTATAAGCATACAAAATTAAGCATGTAGCGTATGAAATTACTATCAATAACATTATAGTAGCACTTAATACGGTAAGAGAATACTCTCCTTGACTATAATTACGTTACTATGAGATAATAGTCACAAGTATCAAACACCTTGTTCGGGCATCGGCGTGATAAACGACATTGGGAGAAAAAGAGATAATAGTTAACTCGTTTCGAAATTATAGTTCTTTCAGGCGACTACATTTTCTGTTCATCCACGACTATATTATACGCTCTGAAAGAATAGTAATAGCGATAGGTATATAAAATAAGCATATAAAGCGTCACAACTTTACTTTGAGTCGATGAAAGAATACTTGACTTGGCAATAATGCATTGCTTGAGCGACTTTAAGTCGACGACGAGAATAACGTGGTATTCGCCACGTTGAATTCACAGCCCAACAGACAAATTCTCGGCGTGTTATCTCTTAACGATATTTCTTTCTTTTCTTGTTCTTAAACTACGTTACCCCTAAATAGTCGGTGGAATTACTCCTAATTGGGCAAGTAAAATCGTCATCCACAAATTGACGAGACCTCTGAGATGATACTCTCTGATTGACTGGAAGACAAAAAGACAATTAATCTCGCAGACATTTTCACGAAAGTCAATAATATTCTTAGTTGCCCTGAGAAAAGAGCAGTAGCGACAAGAACATAAGCGCATGTAGAGTCAGTATCATCAGTAAAACACTACAGCAGCGTTCAAACTATAAAAACGGCTTTCCCGACTATAAGTATTTTCACTGTGCGCCAACATTGCGACGAGCCATCAAGCGCCATTTTCCCAATGGCTCGGTTGTTGAGGCCGCGTCAACATCGGAAGTGCGCAAATGCAATTCATCCCGGCGTCATTGGTAAGCCGAGTACTGATTTATATCGTATATTTGTATCATCGTGCGTCAAGAGCCGCACGCTTTATCTAACTTTTCTAATCTGCCCGTCTATGCCGACCAAGTGCACGTCTATTTGCCGGCGATGATACCAGGCCTTCACAGGCATTGACGTCAAACACGTTCACACTTATGCCCGGGTGGTCGCGCGTCGCGCGCTGACGTAAACCTATGATTCCGAAGTATGATGCGAGAAGTGTGTTACACTTGGGAGTTCATCCTCCTCGGCGGAAGCCGGCGGGGCTAGATTTGTGGCGGTAACTCGTCCGTCAGGCGCGACTCGCAATTGCCAGCTCGTATCGATCTTTCATAGCCGTCAAACTCACCTATGCGATGAACTACCCATGCCGCTTATTTCTAGCCGCCATTCTCTATTTCCGCGCGCGTACTGCGTAGCTGCCATTTCCGACGTTACGACTGTGCGCGCGCGTGTGTGTGTGAGGCCCGCGATAACCGATTTTACACGCGAGCGATACCGAGTTACGAGAGAGGCTCTTGCTTTCTGTTGCAGGATCTTCGTAGATAGTCGACATCATAGCTACTCGTCATCATGGAGGTACTCCCGAGAAGGAAGCAAGGGAGAGAGAGAGAGAGAGAGAGAGAAAGAGAGAGAGAGGACCATTCGAGAACTCTGGAACAATTCGCGATGACACATCGGAAGCCCGCGCGCCGGCGACATCGAGCACTGCGAGCGGGACACGATTAATCTCGAAACGGAATTATAGTCACTTCCGGCGTTGATCATACTTGTTCTTGCTCTCAGGAGAAAGTATTAGCAGCAAAATATGCATGTACGGTTTATTGCGATAAGCATTGAGCGAATGGCATTTATTACAAATACGCTCCTGCCGACTATAATCGCTTCGCTGTGCGATTTCTTTCTCAATCATCGGTCGGTGCGTCGATGCCGAGATTGCGCGAAATCTCCGTAGTCAGAACCAGATTTTTAACCGTGGTGGAAGCGACCGAGATACTGCGGGTCACACATCGGGCTCGCGACGAGAAAAGAATCCGCAATCGGTTTTACTTTGTATTTATTCGCGATTTCAACGGTCAGTCCGTTCCGCAAGCGTCGCAGACCCATATCGATTTTACACCGAGTGCACCGAAATCAATCGCGGGAGTATTAAAATTACGCTTAATATCAAGGCAAGAGAATCAAATGAGCAAACAACCGAGTTGCGCGAGCGAAGCGAGCGAAATCGATCGAGAAGCCAACGACCGCGGTTTCTTCGATTAAACATGCGGGGTAAACTCGGGGATGATGGCCATGGGAAAAGACGGCTGTAAGTTCTCGGATAATTGCTAAATAATACCTTTTGCGATCATTCTCAAAGATAATTGACAGTAATATAACGGTAATTTATGTGCCTGCACTATTCGAGATAACAATATTGTGAATGTTATATCGGGTTTTTACTTGCGAGGCTGCCTGCAAAATTTTCCATATATTTACCAAAAACAACGTCGAGTAAATTACAGTTAAACTGTCAACATTAGACATATAACGAGTGTGACATAATTTTTATCTCAACTTTCGCTGTTTTCTTTTTTTATGTTACGGCCACCTTTTCTTCATAGTTTGGGTAAGATGATTCATTCTCTTCAGGGTTCGCCAACATAATCGACATCATATTAGCATCAGTACTGCAGGCGGAGAACTATCGATGTTCCACGTAGTCGATAATTACAGATAATTTGTAATATTGTTTCCATCGATAACCATCGATCGTTACCAACAGCGTCATTGATAGTTTTCCGCTTATACATTATAAAAAATATATATTAAAATTATAAAATAAAGTAAATACACGTAAAATTACAACTGTTTTTATTATTTTACAAATGTTAGATATATCTTTAACATGAAATGATCAACTGTTCGAAAATACAATAGCTATCTCTTCCTCAGGAGTCAGATGAGATGGCCAAGATGCTAATGTTTTAACATTCGGACAATATCAAATTTTTACTAAATATTTTTTCTTTAATTTATCGATAGTATTGCACACTCGAAACCTCAGCGAAGTAATATGACAAGCGCTGTTAAGAAATAACAGAAACAAAAGCACGTTCTTTGCATTTTAAAAAACTATAACCACCTTATCCGCGTTTATCCTATCTATGAGATATCTTAATAGTCATCTTAAAGTGAAGTCATCATAATATCATTATATCATCATAGGTTTGATTCACTCGGAGACGTATGATGATGACGGCCCCGACTCTTCCTCGATGAATCTCGTCACGCGTTCAGCGTCCAATGGAGGAATTTGCTCCGTGATGATGACTCCGAGAAGACACTTTTCCCCGAAGCCCGCGAGGAAATTCCGCTTTCGATCCGCTTCTGATCTGCTTCCAAATCTGCTCACGCACGCGTACGTGCGTACACCGGCCGAAAGTACAGTCATTACGCACCGAGGTGTGTACGCCGGTCTGAGAGCGTACGATAAGACACGCATATTTAATGGCTTCAGATAGAATCGAGATACATAGAGTACATAACGCCTGACACATATATCCGTACATGCAACCGTGCAAAACTGTCACACCGGCATCGTAAAATGGGTGAAATGCATATTACATTGTGATACGCAAAGCGCCGTAGTGCGTTTCTTCGGTTTATCGGCCGCAATTCCGTCGTTCATTCGGCGAAGGCGAAGGCGAAGGCGAAGGCGCGCGCGCGGACCTCCTCAATAGTTTATCGCGTTGCGGAAGTTTTTGACGTAATTATCAAACGAACGCTCGTGCGTAAGCGATCAGGATGTGATTTCAACCGGAAATCAAGGCTGACAGAATGGGTGGAGACTGCAAACCGCACTGATGAGGGCCTATATAAACACACGTGCAATGATCGCCGGCAGGGTCAGTCGTTAATTAGCGCGCCGATGTTGTAAGTAACGCGAGGAGAAGAGAGCGTACGACAACTTTCATTGGATTTTCGCTCGGCTCGATTTGACGGCCGGAGAGGATTCGGGCAAGCTCGCGATCTCGCCGTTCGCAATAATGGCGCCGGCGCGTCTGTTACTGCTGATTCTCGTGGCTTTGATGCTGGTATTTGCAAATGAGGGAAGGCCACTGACTTTTCCCAGGAGAAACTGGCAGACGATATGCCCGCCAGGCTATAGGCGTCTTCGTAACGGAGGCTGTAGACTGGTCACGCTGTACTGAAAAGGCGAGGTAAATAATTCATGCCACACGAGGATTCCGCAGATTGAGAGAAGGCAAACGGTTGATCTCGCTAAAATTGTGTACGATCGTTTTAGGCGCCGAACATTTCGTTTTTTTGCTAGAGTGGAAAACTAGTGATAGCGATTTTTTTTGCATGCACATGAAAAGTGATCGCCAGTAACATTATGGTAGTATCTGCTCCACCAAATCGTCGATCCGGCGATTGAAACTTGTAAATTATATACGAAGAAATGCTTATACGAATATATAATCTTTTTTCTTTCATTTTACAAGTATGATTAATATTACTTATGAATGGAAAATTGTTCATTCAAAACAACGTTTTCTCTCTCTGATTTATGAATAAGCCAGAGAGAGTAATACTCGTTACTTAAAACAATGATAAAATATTTTTCTCAAATTAGAGATCCGATAGTAATTAATCTCAAATCAGAATATAAACCAATTAACAGATAACTAACCTTTTTTTAATTATAGAATGGAGTACAAAGGCCACGAGGCGTATCTTTTTCCAAAGATTTCGGATTGACGATACTTAGAAATGATATTGCAATTATTTTTTTTTCAAATTATAATGTATCAATTATAATAAATAAAAATACACAATGTCATATATTGAATTATTTTTATATGTTATATTTATATATCTGTAATCGATAAAAGCGAAATTTAAACGTTTTATACTGATTTATCGACTATTGAGCTACTGTTACCGACGGCAGATATAGAAAATTACTATTTTATCTACCATTTATGTTTAATTGCAAAAAAAAATAAAAGATATTGAATTACGTTTAATTTGTAAATTATCTCAAGTATTAAAAATGAAAATCAACAATAATTGAATGAATTTATATTTATCATTAGATGGTAATGAAATAATATTAAATTTATAAATAACATATTTACAAGTTATATTTTTGCTATATACATTATGTATTTAAGAGAAAATTTAAGAAAAAATTAATAACAATTATTTTTGTTAACAAAGAAATTGTTACCAATGGCAAAAATTAATCGGCAAACTTTGTAAAACACATCTAAACGCGTATCGTATATTAAAATACAAATCACTAAAAAATATATTAAGTTCCAGAATTCCCCTCGAATCTAATAAAAGAAGTATTAGCGTTATATATATATATATATACATCTTGACGGCGCAAATCATTTATAAACTCAATTTACCCGAAGTTTACACTTTGCTGAATTTACCTTCCGTAGTTTACCTCATGATTGTGCTTGTTATCAAATGGTAATTAAGTAATTTTACAACTGGCGATAATGCACAGTATATATATTATTTTTTAATGAAAACATAACTTTTTTTGATTTAAATGCCGAAGAAACACACTCTCATTAGGGTCAAATTACACAAGGCATCATTAACGTCTTTTAATTTTCCAGCTTGGGCAATTTATGAACGTATCTCGCATTTAGATATTTCTACGTTGTGACTAACAGCGTTCGTGATAGTAATAAATGCTCAAAGTTCAAATAAAAAGTTCAAATAAAAAATTCAAATGGAAAGTTCAAATGAAAAATTTAAACAAAAAGTTCAAATGAAAAGTTCAAATGAAAAGTTCAAATGAAAAGTGAATATAAATAATATAAAAATAAATAACGTCTTAATTAAGTTAATATAAAATACTAAGTTAATATAAATAATATAAAAATAAAAGATTAATCGACAACGATGACGTTGAGTCAAAGACACAATAGCGTTCCTGAAAAAGAATCCGAAGTGGATGAAAAATGTCCGAACGGACGATAATATTCCCCGCTTTGACTAATATATTTTGCCTGCGCCTCACGAAGCTTCCAAGAAAATTGGCTTTGTTATATTTCTAGAAAGTAAGCGATAAGTGCTCGAACTTCCGCAAAAAGTTAATACAAAAAAGAAAGAATAAGAAAACAATGTCTCGAAATCGATTGACAGATCAATCGATGAGCACAATGTTGAATCAAAGACACAACAGCGTTACTGCGAAGAAGTCCTCGAAGAATGAAGCGCGAAAAATGCTGCCGGAACGGCTGATAAGCTGTCCGCTCCTTTAACGAATGTGTCTTATTGCTATCTCGCATGAAACTCGCGACCAAGGAAATCGGCCTTATCGCGTTTCTGTCAAGGAACGATACGTTATCTCGGCCGCGAGTGGCCCTCAGGCGATTCCGTAGCGGCGGAACATTCGGCGATGGCGGAGAGTAGCACCTACCAAACATCAAACGACGTCCCGAGCGAGCGAGCGCGCTCGCGATACTAATGTCCTTGTCTCCGGCGTAGGAGCGCGAACCTCGCGCTCCTACGCGCCAGGCAAGAAATACGCGCGCGACGTGTCCGCTTCATCAGTCGATCGCGCGGCGCGGCGGTACGCTCAGGTACATATCAGTTTGATAGTGTCATTCGTGGTCGCCGGCCACTTGTCGCGCTCTCGGAAGTAAGCGATTCTCGCAGAGCGACACCGACAATAGCCGAGTTGCGACCAAGGCCCGACCGAACGATCGCCGGTAACAGTAATTGTCGACGAAATACCGACGCGGGTCCTGCGTGTTAATAAGGTGCAGAGATCCAAGGACGATAGACCGCCGACGAAGAAAGAGAGAGAGAGAGAGGGAGAGAGAGAGAGAGAGAGAGAGAGAGAGAGAGAGACATGCAATCACGACGACCCGACGCGACGCTCGGTCACCAGCTGCTACACTCGGCCGCGGAAACGCTGCTTTTCGCGATCATCTGCGGCGAGCTCGTCCTGGGCCCGACCTGCGCTCAGTATCACGATGTTCCTGGTGACATAGTCTTCCCCGGGCCGATCGGCTCGAGATCAAGGGACCAGTCCGCGGCGGGCTCCGCGGATGACAAGGAGGGACTGGTAAATTTATTCATTCATTTATTTTTTTGCTTGTGGAAATCACGCCTCGCTTCGGTGCACAGAGAGGAAATCAGCCTACGCTGCTGAGAGAAGCGATTTCCTCGTTTTCATTTCTTTCCTTGGAATAATTATCGTCTTTAACGAAGAATATTTTCTTGATAATAACTTCCTCCGAATATATAGGATTTTGAGAAAAAGGGGAAAAAGGGTATCCTCTTTCAGGATAGTACTCACAAAATGGAGGAAAAAGTCCTAATAAGTAGGGGTCGAAAAATTACTATTGTCGGAGCTATAAACAATTATTTATTTTGATTAAAGTGAGTGACTTACTCGTTTCTGGTGCTTTTACATTTTCTGATGTAATTTGTCATTTATCAGTGTTATTTATCAGTGATAAGAGCTTTAAAGGAATATTTCAAAGTATGACGAAAAGATGTGAAGAAATAAAAGAAGTACATATAGAAAATCTTCTGTAAATTTTGCAAGTCCCAGAAGCGAGTAGGTCACTTGTTTTAATTAAAGTTGTTTTAATTAAATTAAGTAATTGTTCACAACTCCGACAATATTAATTGTTCGTCTCATGTTTCATCAGGACTTTTTTCTTTCATTTTGCGAGTACTATCTGCCCTCAAAACCCTTTTTTTTTTAACACCCTATATATATAGTTTTAGAAAGACGTCATGTGCTGTGAAAAGAATTTCTTTTTTTGTCAAAAATATTACGAAACTTCTGTGAAGATTGAATATATCAAATATAAACGCTAATAAATCATAGTATTAAATATAAACCTCTAGATATTCTATATAAGAACCAACCAAATTTCTGTTTCATCTTAATAGTCTCTGACTTTAATCTGATATTCTTGATTGAAATACCAAACTTGCTAAGCTTCAAAATGCATTGTCGCTGATAATAGATTCGCGAACGTATGGGGTGCGTTCGGGGAAACGCTATTAGCGCTACTAACGCTAACGTCAGCAAAACTGTTCGTGGAGCCAATAGCACGACAATGAAAGCGACCTCCAGGGACAACAATAGTGTAGCATTAGCATTACCGTTATATCATTGAACGACCATAACCTAGAACGTGGCGACTCATAGTCTAAGAGCAGCAGCTGATGCGAATTGCAGTTTACTCCTCTTTAATACTAGCATCTTGAAACTTTACTTCCACGGAGAACCGCCCATTACGTACGTAAATAGTAAAATAATAAATAAGACGGAGTTATCGTTCAAGTGACATTCGTAGTGTGCGGTTCACAGTGTTTTGGGTGTTCACGGCGTTCAGAAGCGTTAACGCTACCGATGCACCATCTCGGGAGAAATAACAATGATAATGATAATCCTGGCGTTCAACGCTATTCATCAGTGAGATAATAATAGCGTTTGTTAGGGCTAACATTAAGTTCCGCGAACAGCCCATAGGATCAAATAGCGCTAATAGTATCCGCTTGAAGTTATGTACTCGTGAACTCATGAGACCTATTCTGAAATCGGTTTCGGAAACTTTGGTTTTAGTCATAAGGTTGGTAGGCTTTAAACTAACTGAATACTTTTCGTAATTGATCAGCTGATTCATGAGACTGAATCTGGTAATCAAGATAATAAAGTAATAAAAAAAAGATAATAAGGTAATAAAGAATCTATCTATTTCTCTGTCTAATATTACAAAATAAATAGCTAAAACCAAGTTTGTAAACAGAAATAGTACATGGTCTTAAATATCTAAGCATGATCAGCTAATCGTGAACATTCAAGCGTGATCAACATATCTAAGTTAGTTTAAGACCTACCAACTTTGATTAAAACTGAAATGGTCCGAAAGACCGAAACCGACTTTAAAACAGATCTATGGAATACTTGAAGCAAGTGACATTCACTCGAATGCCTTTCCCTGCGCGCTTATGATCAATTTCACACATAAACACGGCCGCAAATCATTACTACTCCATCGAGATTTTCGCGCTCGTCGCGAGCAATCTGGCTGGTTTTTGTCGTGGGAACGGATAATGACAGGACGCGACACGCTTCGTTTTCCGAGTGCCGTTTGTCGTCGAAGGCCGCGCCAACCAATGTCGAGGGTACATCCCCGGTGATATAATCGCGTCGTGATTAAGAGCTCGCGGGGACGAGTAATGTTTACGATTCTCGGCACGTTACTCGCGACTCAGCGCGTCGAAACGTCGAGCTACGTCATCGCACTTGTGCCAATATACCTGTGATCGCGGCTATTTGCTCGCCCGTTGCCCCAGTGACCGATTTCGTGGCATCACTTCTCCCGCGATGTATGTGACGACTGCGAATAGCGAATAAGGGAGATTGAAAGGGGGATGTAAAAATTTTTCCGGGACATTTCCTAGTAGCACATATTGTTGGGCCAATATTGGCTACAAATTGAGCCTCCAATATTGGCCAATGTAAGTCAATATTGATATAACAATGCTACGCAATATTGGCGATATATTGTAATTTAACGTCTAACCAATATTAGCTGCATATTGGGATACATTGGGCCAATGTAACCCCAATGTAAGTCAATATTGGTATAACAATACTATGTAATATTGGCGATATATTGTAATTTAATATCTAACCAATATTGGCTATATATTGAAATACACTGGGCCAATGTAACCCCAATTTATGTCACCGTAGCCAATGTAACACCAATGTAACGCCAATGAAGTGTGCTACTAGGGACTCTATATATAAAGTGTTCGGAATGTTTTAGAAACAAAAAATTGTGAAGATTAATCAGATCAAACTGAGAAAAAAAAGTCCTGTACCATTCATATACTATTTTGCAAAAATCGCAATAGTTATTAAGTTATTAATAATTATAAATAACCATATTTAGAGAATTTTTAATTTGAAAACTTGAAAATTTGCGTACTTATTTTCAAAATGGTAAGGAACTTTTTTGTTCAAAATAACTTAACCTACAATTACATGACGACTATCATGCCTAGAGACCTGTGATTGCGGCTATTTACTCGCCCGTAACTGATTTCGTGATATCACTTCTCTCGCGATCTATGGATCCGTGAGAATGTCCGATCATTGACCTCTCTGATGGTATTCAGAGTGTCCGCGTGAGTCGCTGCAGACGCCTACACGTTAAGCCTACACGTTAAGTAATCAGCTCTAGCGATTGCCGATTGACGATTAAAATAGAGCATTGTCTAGATAGCAATCACCAATCTCAATCGGTGCCTGTTTTGCTCTGATTGGTTGAAAAGTAGCCGATTGGATTGCAATCGCAATTGCAATCCAATCGGCAAGGGTCAAGGGAGAGTGTTGCAGATAAGCCGGAAGCCGCCATTTTGAGATCAATGAGAATGAATTAAGCGCATATTTCAAAAGAGTATATGTATTGTGAATGCGAAGAAACATATATATCTTGATAAATTATATTTTTAAACTTGAACACGATATAAAATAAGTAATTACTTATTTTTTATAAAAGCATTTATTTATTCACAAAAATATTTTTACACATAAGTGGTATAAGAAGTAGACTTATCAAAAAATTTGATCGACTAACTTCAATAAAGTTTACATATGATTACAATGATATGATGACAGAAAGTACTATACAATTAATCAACCTAAAACAAATTAGGCAAAATGTTGTGTATATTTAAAGAATTATTTAAGGAAGTAACATAAATAATCACAACAACTGCCGTATAATTGTAGATTAGGTCATTCTGATCAAAAAATCCCTTACAATTTTGCAAATAAGTACGCAAATTTTCAAGTTACCAATTAAAGGGCCTCTAGATGTGGTCATTTTCAATCATTAATAACTTAATAATTATTACGATTTTTGCAAAATAGTACATGACTTTTTTCAGTTTGATTTGATTAATCTTCATAATTTTCCGTTTCCAAAACATCCCGGATACCCTGTATATAGAGTGTCCCACAATAATTTTTACAGAGCTTGTAGAGATATAGAGCGGGATAAGACAAACATGAAAGTCCTATATCGTTTTGCAATATTCACGATAATTACCAAGTTATTAATGACAGAAATCTGAGGAGTGGGCGCGCGCCGACATGGATAATTGGAGAAACGTTGGAAGTGCTGGGACCACAACGCGGCCCAAGCGATCTAACAACTGTTGCGCGGTGAGGAGAAGGACAACGCACCGCTATTCGTGTTCTATCTCGCTACACTTACGTTTCGCTGCACGCCGCCAACAGTTGTTGCAAATCAACTGGACCGCGCTGTGGCCCGGAACGTGGCCTGTAACTTTTCTTCAATCATCCATCTCGTCGCGCGCTCACTCGTTAAATTTCTGTAATTACACTACTGGAAAAAATTAAGGGATCAAAAGAATTTCCTAAATATTTAGTGATTTTTTAAAATGCTGTATCTCAATGAAAAATGGTCGTATCGAAGTCAAAAGAAAAGCATTTTGAAGCTTCAAGTTTCTAGTTTTGAGATCATTTAGCGAAAAATTTTTCGAAGCTACAGGTTCCACGCAATCCTAAGAAATAGTGTGAAAAAAAAATTTTGAAAATTTTGTTTGTTCTTTTTTGGCTCCACGGACTTGGAAAAATTTTTTCCAGCTAAACCATTGCATGAACCGGATAGCTTGTTTATTCAGCTTCAATTTCCTTTTCTTCGACCTCGATGCGACCATTTTTCGCTAAAATATCGGACTTTTAATGAAAAAGGATCCTTTTGTTTTTGATCATTGATATCTCAGCAACCAATAATCGCACAGAAAATTAACGGATGGTTTCAAAAACTTGAATAAACTCTCTACAAGGATTGACGATGGTTTTTTGAGAACAAAATTTTTTTTCATCCTTGACATGAATTTGAAAAAACAGGAGAAAAAGGGCTACTTATGGTTTTTTAGAAAATCAACGGCTAAATTACAAATATTGATAAAACGACTAATGTTAAGCGTGACTTTTTCAGCTCAATATACCCACAAAAACCCTGTAAAGTTTTAATTTGATCTATCGAACCGTTTTTCTGTTTC